ACAGATAAAGTCAGGCTACAATACAACATTTCATCTAAAGATAAGTTATCATGGTAGAAGGCAACTATGATCTGCCATGTATGTGAAATCAGAGTCTTGATTTTAAAAATATGCTTAAGATCAAACTGAATCAGCTTAGCAGAAAAATAATTATAAAGGTTGAAAATTCCCCCTTCCTCCCACCCTTTTTGTTTTTTGGCTCTTTAGTAAACCGATATAGAAGAGACACTTTCTACCCTGAAGGAGACTGCTGTCTCAACTGATAAATCATATGAGCTCCAGTGAATGTATGTCATTGCCCTCAGGAATGACAGATCCATCTTTGTCACTCTTGTGGGATTTGAGCATTGACACTGTAAGAGAACTTGACTAATAACCTTCACCTGGACCTTCCAAACTCTGCATGTAACTTCTTGATAAAGATCTTGATAAAGGCCAATATTTTCACAGGTTGACAGTGTCTGGAGAAGAGGGTCACTGAGCGCTTTGACACTTTTAAGTTCAGTTTACAGTAACTCCTTGAAAAACCTTAAGTTTTGCTGCACTTGCAATCATAGGGACAAATCATAAAATGAATATGAAAAATATGACCCTCAGATATACTGCATTTGGCTTTATTCTTTCAAAGATACGTGCTTATGAAGGCAACTTATACAAGGCCTGGTTTGACTAAAAGGACGCATCATTGATGTTCTCTAAGTTTAGATGAAAGGCCTTTCACTTTATATAGTGTCTTTTATTCTAAAGCTAGTTAGCCACATATGGGTGTGTTGGTTTATCAGTGAGGTAAATTCATTATGACAGTGAATGAGAAGAAGTAATCTATTCCTCTCATTCTGTGCAAAATTCAAAGACAAAGCTAAATTTTACGAGAGACAGATCCATACCCAGGGGAAAGAACAATTGTTAAATGCCCATTGTACTTCTCACCCAAATGTTTGAAAATATAAGACATATGAAGACTCTATCTCCTTGTATGGTTTCTTTCTGGTGTGCTCAATTCTTTTCACTCTCTCAATGTCATTTTGGTTTAAAAATACCACACTACATTTACATCCCAAGACCAAAAACCTTGGAACATCATAAAAATGGTAATTAAGCACTATTATTTCGTGCATCCAACAATGCCCATTTCAAGACACTACACAAACAGGATTCCTTTAAGTTGTTTTATTGATGATAGAAACAGTGTATAATTAAAGATTTGATGAGAAACCAGCAAACAATAAAGAATGTGTCTGTTGCCAGCAAAATACAATTATTCCAGGTCCTTTAGACATTACAAATATAGAGTTCTTTCACACCAGATGGTTCATATAGAACAAAGCCATTTTAGAATGTTTAATTGTGCTTCTACAAAACCTTCAAAAAATGAGGTAGTTTCCTTTATCCACCGTATTTTCCACATTTCCATAAATACACTTTTAGTGAGCTTAAATCCTTTTAACATAACCTTTAATTTTTCATGAAAGCCAAGACTTATTTCCAAAGTGTTTATTTCTTTCTACTTGATTTTTCTTAAAGAGAATTTCAAGAATCACTACACAACTAGAGAAACTTGAGACTAGCAATGGCTGGGGTTTTTCATTACAATCAGATTTAGACGTAAGAGAACACGTTCTAAAAATTCCATAGTTAAGCTGATATTCTCATGTTTCTATCAATAAACTCTGATTTAAAAACTACTTTCTCAAACTCCTCATTTTCTCTCAGCCACCCTATCAAGTAAGCACAAATTCTTCACAACAGTGGGTTAGATTCCACGTATTAGCTAACTGGGTGCATTGCGGGATCATTCATTCTCGTAAGTCATCAGGGAAATATCTACAGAATTTATAGATGCATACAGATGAGCTAGCTTACTTTTAAGACTTGATTCAAAATCTACTTCCAGCCATACTCTTGAGAGAATTCCTGCATTCTTCAAAAACTTATCAATGAAGTAGACATTGAGGCAGATATTTGTATTCCTTTCTTAACCCTGAGAATGACCTTAATGACCATAAATGATAATATTCACTTAAAAACTAAATGGTAATATTCACTTAAAAACTAAATGATAATATTCAACTAATTTCCACATCAGTTAGCCTTCCCCAAGGAAAGAGTGATGGTGATAAATAGTATTTCTAAGGGAAAATAACATCATAATCTACTTCTTGTCACTTATTCTATGCAGCCTCAAGAAGCTTCACAAATCTTAAAATGGTTGAAGAAACGACACAACAGATCTTACAGACTATGCAATTATGAAGTCTTATCCAAATGGGTAGCAATCTAAAGTGGTTTCCATGTTAACACAACCCTCAAATTATTACCTTAAGATTATGGCCTAATTCTAGTATCTGATGAACTGGCCACTATACTTAGTCACTTCCTAATTGGCACTATTTGTATTTGGCACCCATGTTGAAAGATCCCCATGGCTGGCAGAGTAAGGAAAAACCTCCTTTAGACAACACAGAAACAAGTTGGATTTTTTTTTTCCCCCTCTATCATTCCTTTCTTTCTCTACTTCAGTTGTTCTTCCTTTGATATCTCTAATTAAAATTTTCTCCATAATTCAATAATGCGTAAGAAGGAACCTAGCCTTTGTGAGTGGATGTGCAGAGAATCTGTCAACGAAATTACATTTTCATTCATTTCCACATCACAGCTTATAATCAATTCTTACCATCCCAACAGTGGATTCCCTAAGTTGACCATTATGCAACTCAAGTTTCAGGCCTTATTAACTGGGTCTATTGTGGTATGAAAAATATACTTTCAGACAGAATAAGATTACTTAAAACTTTAATACTTGTATCCTGCAGATTTTAAAGACCACTTCATTTTCTTTCTAAGACTGAATTTCATGCTTTTACCATTCATTAAAGCAAATATGTTTACATATATCTGATCCAGGGAATTATTTTCCCACAAACACGACTATATCCCGTTGATATGTTTCTTTATCAACCTCCGCGAACTAATATCTGAAAAGTCTTTTATTATGGTATGTATGCTGAAGATGAAAAATAAATCACTTTCTTCTACTTTTGTATTTTAAAAGGGCTTTTTGGCAATGATAAAAGTGAATCTCTTTGTAATACTTTAAATGGCCTTGCTTTTAAAGCCTCAAACCGTGAAAAATTATTGTTATATTAAAGTTAGTCTTTCATGTGTTATTTTCTGAGTAGCTGGATCCATCATTTTCAAGCTAACATTCAAAACAGTTTGATTCATAATTGACATTTCCCAGAAAAACTCCCTCGAGGAATATTTTCTTTATTTCAATAATATCTGACTTGTTTAAGATCAGCAAGGATGCTGTAATTTGAGGTGTTCTTTTGTCAGATGTACTATGACAACTTAACATTGCTCCAAAAGAACGCAGCTAACAAATGTACTAGGCTGGCAGTAAGCAGCAAACCAGGAGGTAGTTCACACCACGTAGGCAGTGGCTGAATAACCCTAAATACCAACCTGACCGAGTAGTTTCACACGAGAGGAAATGGAATGAAAAATAGAATAAATTTCCTTAAAAAATGAGATGAAAATGTTCATTGTGATTTCTTGATAAGAGATGTGCTTTGGTCTTCGTCTCCTTATAATCTAACTATATTAAACACTGCTTTTATACCTAAAAATTCATTTATATAATAGAGTATAAACTCCATGAGGGTAATGTCTATATACTCTTTATTTTCTAAAACTAACTTCCTAAATCCTACTGCTAGTTGTGTTAGATACACATTTGTGGGCACTCAATCAACATTCACCAAATTAACTGATCAAATTAATTATAATCTCCATGGTATTGATCAAGAGGTAATACTTACTGAAAAGCTGGTACCCTTTGCCTCCTTTTGGGGGGAGACATCTGGAAAACAGGTAGCTGAACAAATTCTACTTGTGGCAAAACAAAGTGACAGGTGTTATAAAAGTGTCCACTAAATTACTTGCCAGCATTACTATTTATAACTTACGTTTCTGCATATCCACATAAGAAGAAATCCACATTACAAAGAAGAATTCTTTGATCATATTTAGAATCAGGATATGAAATAAGGGACCCTTACAATGTTTCTCTAACCCCTTTGCTTTAGTGCATCTGATGAATATTTATTGCTCTAAATATTTTAGAAAATATCATTCAATGAAAGCGAACGAATGTTGTTTTTCTGCTTAAAACACATTTTTCTCAATCATAAGGGTAAACTGAACACATAATTTTAAAAAGAAACTTTTTAAGGTAAAAGAATACAGTGATTGAGCACTGACTGGGAACAGGGAAAATCAAGAAGCTTATTTGGCAGCTGATTTTATAGCACACACACCCTAAAGCAGAGCTGAAGCTGCACCTTTAATAAAAGTCTCCTACAATTCTTTTGACCAAGACATACTCACTAATCGCCTTCAAGTGCCCAAGAGTGCTCTGATTCGAGGAAAGCAAGACCAGTTGTTTAGGTACAATTATATCAAGCAACAAAACTGACATGATGAAGAATTTTAACCCAGGGTGTATAATGTAGGCTTCCCTATCTTCAGGAGTGACGACATTGCATGTCATATAGTTGATGTTACACTGTGCTTTCTTGCTGCTACCTCTGGTTTTATTTTTTTCGTATGACAATCTTTTTTTTTTTTTTTTTTTTTTTTTGAGGAAGATCATCCTTGAGCTAACATCTGCCAATCCTCCTCTTTTTGCTGAGGAAGACTGGCCCTGGGCTAACATCCATGCCCATCTTCCTCCACTTTATATGGGACGCCGCCAAAGCATGGCCTGACAAGCAGTGCCTCGGTGCGCACCCAGGATCCAAACCCGGGTCACCCGCAGCGGAGCGCGCACACTTAACCGCTACGCCATGGGGCCGGCCCATGACAATCTTTTGAGAAAAGAACAGAGGGTGTTTACCAGCTAGAAAAAAACACGAATCTCTAACAAGGTTTCTTAATTATTTCTCTTTCCCTTTTACTTTTCCTTTGTACTTTTGAAAGCCAAGTTAAAATAGGTATTATTAGTTTATTCATTCCTGCCAGCTGCAGGTACTAGACAGCATGGTGTACATCCCTGAAGTTGACTCTTGTTTTGGCGTATCATGAGTTGAATCCCTAATAAATGACTGTAACAAAGAAAATTTCTAATAGCAAATATTTTTAGGAAATGCTCTAGTTTTGTCTATGTCTGAACACTTCGTTTTAAAATCTTGGTTTCTACTGATGTGTTTTGGAAAAAGCTGACAAACTTGGTCTGAAATGTGAAAACTGAAAAAAGCAGGAGGAAGAGGCATGCAAAATAAGTTAATCATTATCATTTTAAGTGCCACCAGTTCTGTTTATATTCATGCACATGTGAATTGCTGAATCTCATTTGATCAACCCAATTAAACATTAAATAATTGCAGCCAATTATGTAAATATCAGCAACAATATTAATTTGTTGATCTTTTTGAGCAGATTAGCCTCACATGTTCTTAATGCTAGACTATCTTACGCCTTAAATGATCAATTAGTGTTACGATAACTAAATCTCGAAGAATGGATAATTGCCTAGTTATAATGTGCCACTCTTGCTGTATTAATCCACTGCAATTAAACAAATAGTGCACAAGGAAAAAAGATGTGCAGATGTTCCTTTTAAATCTATTTAACAAGTTAGTGGCAAGGTCAATTTCCTGTCTTATTACTTACACGAGAATGACAGATTATGTCCTCTGTTTTAGGAGACCTCTAGTTTTTTAGAATGTATATCCTTAGTCTTCACTGTGTCTCATAGGAAGGGCTTAAAATACTCTTAAGGTTTGATGAAAGAAATCATACAGACATAATGTCAAGATATATTGTTCTCTAACTTTTAGAATGGACATGTCCTGCCATACTAAATTTAAAGATGCAAAGTATAAAACGTATTGGGGCAAACAAATGATTTCCATTTCTCATGAGTCCAGTTATTATGTGCTACTTGACAGGTTAGAATTACCTACAAGACTTTTCTAGACTACTATATTAAAAACAGGTCACCGGATTTAGCCAAGGCAAACACAGACCCTTCGAATGCTCCTTGGTGAACGTGTGTAGAGGATGTGTTACAGCACCCGAGGCCTGAAAAGAACAAGACTCTCCCAAGATTTCAGATCACCAATTACAAGCCCCCTAAAAGATATTTTTAACATTCCTTTTCATCTTATACTTCCCTAATTTTCACTTTACCATTCCTATCTAAAAAGACCCGATGGCCAAAAGTCTTGGAAAAGAATCAAAGCTCCATTTGCTATGTGCTGCTACATGCCTGAAGGAAATTTTTCCAACACATCAAACTTTTAAGAATGTTTTTTTCCTTGCTCTGAAAAGAGAATGAAATATGATCAGCAGATGAAAGTTATCAGGACTGAAGGAAACCAAAATATAGTGTCTGAGAGTTGACCTTTCAAGGGTAAATGTTTTCTATCAAGATTTGACTTTCCCCTAGATAAACCAGGATATGATTTTAACTCACAGCTCCTAAACGAGGAAAATATCTTCTGTAATTGCTCTCCCTGTACCCTAACCATGTGCTCATCCAATCCCCATTGAGCAGAAATGATCACATACAAAACCATAGTATAAAAACTAGAGTATACCTCTTTGCCTTCTGCCAAAAAACTAAATATAATGATTTATTTTGTTCTTAACACTTAACATATATGTATTTAACACTTAACATATGTCATTTCCATTTGGTTGGTATGATGTCAAGACCTCCCTAGAGCTATTACTTCAATTCCAAGACAGTCTTCAAATATGAAATAACTCCTCCAACAAATTATGCCTCTGAGTATCTCTAATGACTTAGCAGTCCTTCGACAATAAAGACAATATGAGGTAAATATACACAATGTCAGAATCAATCACAAATTCTAATAAAGAGGTTTCATAATATAGAAACAAAGAAGGTACACTTCTATAGAAGGTAAATGTTCATTCATTCATTATTTACCGAGTATCTATTATGTGCCAGGCAGCGGGATACAGAGATGTCTAAGGCACAAGACCCTCGGTCTTGTAGTGGAGCCTGACAAACAGCCAACAGCAATACAACGTGGAAAGGGCAATGGTGGAAATGTGCACGGGTCTTGCTGATGCACAAAGTGAGCTTGGAGTAGACTGTGACACCAGGAAGAAGGGACAGATTTACCTTATTATAGACATAGGGGGCCTGGAAAAAAATGTGATGGGAGGAAATCCAGTTCTTCCAAGTCTTGATTTTAAAAAAATAAAACACTTTCTGAGGATGAAGATGTGTCACAGGAAGTGTTACCTATGAAATTTACTCAAATCAGCTTTCAAACATAAAAAACCTCATTTGGTTGAGGAGCAGAACATAACTTATACTAAAGAATAAACAAAAATTTTTGTATCTGAGTGAAGTACTAAGGGAGGCACTGGGATTATTGAGGAAAATTCTACGCTACATGGCTTACATTATCATCTTTCTAAGAGAAGGTCAGGTAAGCATCTATTCTCAACTTTACAAAACACAATTCAATGATTGTAATTCATTTGCTCTGGCACGAGGAAAGAACCACCCTGGGAACACTGATAATACAAACTACATTGTGCACAACTAAAAATGGGTAGCCAAAGAAATTTATCATAATTCAAATGCAACAGTCTGTCCCAATAGCACACAGATGATATCCTGTACTTTCCATTCAGGATACTACGATTGTCCAGTCGCTCTCTTCTCTTCCGTACTACAATAAAAGCAAGAAAACATGTTTCAGTATAAAAGCTGAATAGTGCAGAAATAGCTCATAAATTAACAATAATACAACTAAGGTTGTACAAAAAATTCGCTTCTATTTTGAACATTAAAAGTATATTCAGGGGCCAGCCTAGTGGCTTAGTAGTTAAAGTTTACACGCTCCATTTCAGCAGCCCCGGGATTCATGGGTTCACAGACCTACACTACTCATCAAGCCATGCTGTGGCAGCAACCCACATATAGAGGAAAATAAAAAAAATAGAGGAAGACTGGCACAGATGTCAGCTCAGGGACAATCTTCCTCATCAGAAAAAAAAAAAAAGTTTATTCACATTAAAAAAGATTAGAGACAAACAACTAAATACTTGGAAAGAATCACAAATTTTATAATTACTGTTGAACTCAAGTTTACAGTTGGTGTAGGGCCCTTTTATATTTAGGTACACGCCTTTTCATTACCATTCTGTATTTAGCTTCTGCTCTGCAAATGACATAACTGAATTTAACTACTGCCATCTTTACTCTAAAGAAGTGATGCTCGAAGTCTATTCCCCAAAGCAGTATCATCAGCATTACCTGGCAACACGTTAGAAATGCAAATTCTCAGGCCCCACCTCAGACTTACTGAATCAGAAACTGTGGATGGATCCTAGCACCTCGTGCTTCAGCAAGGTGATTCTGACGGAGAAGTTTAAGAATCACTACTCTAAAATCCCACTTCTCAAGAGCGTTTTACATTCATGGACAAAAACTGAATTGACAAGCCCAGTGGATCTGAACAGTAACTTTGTTCTCTAAATCCAAGTTGTTTGTGTGATGTCAGCATCCCAAATTTTCTTATTTCTCCAAAAGTTATGGAACTACACTATGATCAGATTATTTACATCAGCAAATAGTTTTCTTTAGCAAACCTAAATTTTAATATTTAAAACTGAATTAAATGAAACAGAAAGATATTCCAGATGTCAGAAACAGAAAGCCAGTTCTATATTCATTCCTTCATTCAGTCAACAAACATCTCGGTGTTTAAACGAGCTTTCACCCTTTGAGCAAGTGCAGCATGCCAACATCATTGCCCCAAGAGCTTTAGACTTATTACCTCATTTATCCTCACAGTAACCCCAGATAGTAGATGTCATTATCAGTCTAATTTTATGGATGAGAAAACTGAATATTAGGGAGATTATATAATTTACTCAAGGCTGTGGTTAGTAAACTGTTGAGTCCATACTCTAGCCAAGGTCTCTCTCACATCAAATTCCACGTTCGTGACCACCATCTGGACTTCCCTCCACATGTTCACACAGCCATGTGTGTGGAGACTGACTTGGAACAGATCTTCCCGACCCAGAGAAGTATGCCATTAAGTTTGCCTAAATCAGAGGATGTCCCCTTTTCACACGAATTGGCTCTTTAGTCCTTATATAACTTTGGTTGAAATTAATACAAAACATCAGAATTTCTAAATTGGAAAGAACCTCAGTGGTCATCTAAAATGATCATTTTATTTGGATGAGCCAAATAAATGGGGCTCTGGATTTTACTTCTTTACTTCAGAACAATTCCACTTTTCTCAGTTTTGTATATTGGGATTCCAGGAAAGAGTTCTTTTGTAGAAAGTTCTGCTGCTTAAAAATCAAGTGTCAAGAGCAATGAACTTTTAAGCCAAGCTTCTCATTTTACATTTAAGGAGGCTCTAGGAACCACTTTTTTTTTTTTGCAGGGAAAGATTTGCCCTGAGCTAACATCTGTTGCTAGTCTTCCTCTTTTTTTTTTTCTTTTTCCTCCCCAAAGCCCCAGTGCATGGTTGTATATCCTAGCTGTAAGTCCTTCTAGTTCTCCATGTGAGCTGCTGCCACAGCATGGCAACTGACAGACGAGTGGTGAGGTTCTGTGACCGGGAAACGAACCTGGGTTGCTGAAGCAGTGAGAGCGCTGAACTTTAACCACTAGGCCATCAGGGCTGGCTCTCTAGGAAACTCTTAACCACAACCCCAGTTCTCTTGCCTCTGTCCAATGCTATTTCTCCTGTATCACACCGTCCATGTGCTGTGTTCCTCTTAAAGAGTTTTCAAGACCTCAGAGAGCAGAATCGCTCAAATTGGTGATAATGCTGGGAGCCAAGAATGGGTCTACCTCCCACCTTCTGGTTTATATGAAAAGGAGAATGAAGGAAGCCCAATAACTATAAGTGACTTCCTTAATCCACATCAGAAGGTATTGTCTAAAGAGCGTGTCCTCCCACTACTGACTCTTGATTCATGATGAATGCTGGATAAAACATTTCCAAATTCTGCCTGATGTATGTATGGTGTCAACATGACTTAAGGTAAGAGCAAAATATGTGTTTTATTTTTCTTATGTGGATTCCCATATGTTATACACTTTTGCCATTAATAATAATAAAGTGTCAGCATATTGACATTTCAGCAGATCTACATAATTGTGATTCATGAGCACTATAATTTCATCTTAAATCTCATCAGTTAAAGTAAATTGCTTTCAATTAGCTGTCTTAGTTTTATAAAGTCAAAAATCAATCTTGGTTACAATGATAGTTATAGGCCTTATCACTCTACAAACGTGCATAGTATGTATTAAGTTTTACCCCACTCATCCTACAATTTCTGCTTTTATGTAAAATCACAGCATTCTGAGATGTAACTAAGAGATGTGATATTACAGGCAATTCATAATGTCTAGACCTAGGCAGTTAGCAATCAAACTTTTCATTTAACTGATGGATAATTCAATTTAATTTTTCAAGGCAAAATCATTCAAAATAGAGATGACAGATTTTAGCAGAGATAGAAATTATATTCTTTCCTCAAGAGCAGCTGTCCAGAGAAGGAAGGGAAAGAGAAAACATGTCTACATGGGCGAGGATGTCATTATATCCTTGTCAGTGTCAGTACAAAACCACAGCAGTGGGCCCACCACACACCTTCAACATTTGGCAGGCCTGCCGTAAAGTCACATTTACTTGACTTTGTTCACTAGAATCAAAGATGGGGTCAAAGCAATGTGGCAAATCAGATTGAGCCTGTGGGATGGTATTTTGAGCCCATGTGGAAAAATCAGTACGATGTGCAGCATTTTCATCTTTCTGCAAATTCCGGTTAGAACACTAAACCAAAACATGATTAATGACAAGTTCATTACTTTATATTAGACGTACACAATAATTTTACATGGCCTTTGCTAAAATGCCTTTTACATTCAGTATAAAATTCTTAGCAACACAAAAGGACAACCTGCGTGTCATGCACTTACTCTCTACAAAGCCAATAAAAATATACTCAGTGCTGCCCACCAGGTAATAATTTGTCATTCTTGTTCTAATCCTATTAAACGGCCGTGCAAAACTTTCCTATAACACGTGGAGAAGTGCGTTATTAGGGGACAAGGAGGGGCTGGGAAGCTGGTCAAAGGACTGAGTCATCAAGGCAATCTGGAAATGTTCACTTAGCATGCACACAGAAAAGGACAGCTCTGGACACTGGCAGGGAAAAGGGGTGGGGCTCGTTAACTTCTTATGTAACTAAAAGTCATGAAGCTATTCCACTGGAAACAAGAAAACTACAATAACCACTAACAGTCATTGGTGCTTGCAAAGCTGTAGCCACTAGTAAGAAAACAGATTTTTTTATTCTATCTGGTGACCTGCAGTCAATACAGATCCTGCTCCTATCCCATTCGGGCTTTCCTTTTCCTAAACTATTTAAGACCATCCACCTCTTGGTCTTTGCAATCACTACTTCCACTTTCTGACCCTCAACAGTAGCACTGCTAGTTGCTCAAACATATGACCCCTGATATTTAAGATCTTAGTTCCAGCTTTTATCTCATCCTCAAAGCAGTCTCAATGTGTATCTCATTTTGAAAAAAATATAAGTCAGGTTCTCTGACAGTTTTTTTGAAAAATAATTTGACATTATTTAAGACCTTCCTCCCACCTCTTCTCACAATGTTTTAATGTACAAGAACAACACATTTTTTGCTCTTGGTGTCTCACTCACCCATTCATTCCTTTATTCAAGAAACTAAATATGTATGAGTATGTACTATGAGTCTGTACTGAGTATGAGTATGTACCATGGCCCAGGCCCTGTACAGAATACTGAGGTTACAAAAAGAGAATAAGGCAATTCTGACATTCAAATAACCCTAAAGGAAAAACAAGTGTGTGACTAACTTGAATATAATTTAAAGGCCATATGCGATAATCCCAGGCACTTTGGAAGCTGGAGGAAGAAGCAGCATATAAGCAGGTCAACGTGTTTGCACTGGGGAAAAGGGATGTTGTTCAAGAGATTTAAAAGGTTCCTAAAGGAGATGTGTCTTGAAGGACAACCAATACCTTATCAAGTGGGCAAGTTGCAGAAGGTACAGAAAGGCAGAAGAAAGCAGAGCATATTGGAGAACAGAGAAGACCCCAAATGGCAGGAGCAAAGGAGAATATGATGGTGAGTAACTGGAACAGCAAACAGTAATGGGAGAGGAAAAGAAACACGGGCAACACGACAAATGTTCTCCAAGTTTGTTTGGTTAAGGATGAGCACAGAAGTGTTTTTCTTTGTTGCTTAAAAAAAGAAAAAAAAGAAACCGTCATATAAAATGTTCCCCTCCTAAGAGGTATTTGTAGGGCAATCTAAGACCAGGGAACTATATGGACAATTAGCCAGATGGGATGAATATTTAACCTCAGAGATTCTTACTCATATACAGAAGTACACAAGTTAAATGAAAATCAGATCTGCGGTTACAAAGGAATTTTTCCTCTAGGTCACACTGGCAACAATCTTGAGGGTTCGGGGTTGCTGTTGTTGCTCTCCTCTTCAATTTACCAAAGCACTTCGGAGAAAACAGCCATATTTCCATGTAATGTCAAAGAGATCAAATGTAAAACATGACGCAATTCTATGCTTTTCTCTCAATAATTACTTAAATTATTTTTCTTGGAGAGAAACCTAGTAGCTTGGCTGACAGCACCAATTTGCCATCTTGTAAGAGAATAATTTTGAAACTTTAGGTTCCATAGCCACAGGCATAAAATAATTGAAGAAGAAAGATGTGGTCTTAGATTCCGAATGGATGGTCCTTTGTTACTTAACAATTTGGAGCACAGTCGGTGCTTCTGGTTTGTGGTTTAATTCAGAATCACTGTATTATCTTACGTGTCCTGCAACTGCACCCCTTTGTTTCTTTGCTCAGTACGGAGCTCTGAATGGATCGTTAGTTTTTAGTGTTACTACCATTACACATTACTACCTAGGGTAAAAAGAGAAATTATTAACTTCATCTTAGCCATAGGCACTAAGTTATACAGAGAATATATAAAGATAAGAGGAAAATGTTATGTTTCTTCTCATTTTTTGCTTTATATACATGTATCTTTTACTTTTAAACCTTTTCACATAGTCTCACATTTAAATTGAGTATCTATTTTGTCCTTCTATATCACTGTGCTTTGACTTCTCTAATTTTTGTCCCTTTTTAAACTACTATATTACCAGCACCTAGAACAGCCTCTGGCACTCTGTGCCCAATACATATATTTGTTGAATGAACGAATAAAAAACATTCACTTCTGTCACCTACATTCTTGGCTTCCATAATCTTACTGTTTTTCTTCTTTTTGGTGAGGAAGATTGGCCCTGAGCAAACATCTGTGTCAATCTTCCTCTATTTTGTATATGGGACACTGCCACAGCATGGCTTGATGAGCAGTGCATAAGTCTGCATCCAGGACCTGAACCCGTGAACCCTGGGCTGCCGAAGCAGAGTGCGCGAACTTAACCACTATGCCACCCAGGCCGGCCCCATCCATAATCTTACTTTTAAAAATGCTCTTTCTGTAGATCCTTACCTTACACCATACACAAAAATTAACTCCAAATGGATTAAAGACTTGAATGTAAGACCTGAAACTGTGAAAGTTCTAGAAGAAAACATAGGC